CAGAGGTCTGCCTCCTTCTCGCACACCTGGACCTCGCCAGCAGCCTCAATGGGCACAGAGGAGGGGGCACCGGGGGCCGTGCCACAGCAGAGGTCCTCTTCCTTCTCGGCCCCCTCGGTGCAGCCCACCCGGGGATTTTCAGGCCCTGCTGACCCCTGTGGTCCCAGGGCTGGAGGGGACGGCAGCCAGCTGTGGTACCAGAGTGTCCCACTGTCCTTTCCCCCCAGCTCCATGTCCGCCACCTCGAGCGCGGACTACCAGCATGGCACTGCCTACCCTGGCCCAGCTGGCCACTTTGTGGCTCACGGTCACAACCACCGGCCCAATGGCAGCAGCGTGAGCCCCGAGCCAGGCTCCTCGCACCTGGCCTTGTGTGGGCCAACAGCTCCCGATGCTCCACAGACGCCTTTCCCAGAGGCTGCAAGCGGCCCACGGTTGGACGCCAGGCACACGGAGGGCCCCAGCACGGCAAAGGTGAAGCTGCCCTGCCAGACCCTCCTTCCGCAGCCAGAGCAAGGGCCATCGGCGGGGGGGGGGGAAGGGGGGGGGAGCGACCACCGCGCGATGGATGCTCGGCCGAAGGCCGATTACTTCGGTAAGGAGGCAGTCTGCCAGTCGGCGTGAAAAGGGTTTGTTGGGAAGTATTGCTGCAGGGTTTGCACCTGCAGGGTTGCGTGTCCCGTACACATGCTTGGTTATGCTTTTTCAGTTGCTCAGGGGTTTCTTTTGTTACTTAACTTTTATTTATCACAGGAACTGGAAGCTCTTCCTCCTCTGGTGCTTTTTTCTTTAATCTTACCTCTTCAGTTTTAAAGCAGAGATAGTGTAGCAGCTTTAGGGAGGACAGCACTGAGAAGAAGCTGGAGCAGCATCTTTTGAATTGCCCTTCGTTGCTGGCTGGGAGGCACTTAATTTTTCTTGACAGTACTCCTGGTTCTCTGTGTCTTAAAAGTATGTTGCCTGACCACGTGTGAGTGGGAAGGCTCCAGCCTGTGGAGGAGTCGCGCCTGCATTTGCTGCAGGCGCGGAGAAGGGCACTGAGCTCAAGGTAGGCAGTGGCAGGCACCCCTCGGTGGTAACCCCCACGGGGACTGCCACGGCCGGATGTGCTTGCGAGATGTCTTAAAGAGTAGTTGCTTGAGGATGGGAAGGGTGATGGTTTCCCAGACTTGCCAGGATTTCTCCCTGCCCCCAGATGGTGGTCCCCGTCAGCTCTGAAGGGATCAGTGCATCCTGAAGACAGCAGAAAAACAGGCAGTAGGCACATTCCTCCCTAATCTCGGGTCTGTGAGTAGTCCAGACTGCCACCAGACACTATTGCTGGCACATGGCAGTGGAAAAGGACCGCGAACATGTGAGGATCTCCCAATGGGAATATTAAATGTCCTGCTGGATTAAATTGATTTACTACCCCAGGATGGGAGAAGGTCAGGGGCAAATCGAGCGTTTCCTTCCTGGCCACGCCACTTTGCAGTTTAATAGGAGGTGAGATAGTTCAGGTTTTAGGAGAAGGAAACCTGGAGTTGCTGGGAAGGCTGAGAACTCCATGGTTAGTTTAACAAAGGATGGGAGCAGGTCTAGCGTACGGATTTTCCTCATGATTTTAGACCCACGGTCACAGAAGTAGAAGCAGGGACAGACTAAATTCTTCAGCCTGGTGCAGAGGAAGGGTTTGCATCTCAGGCTGCACAGGTGCTGTTGCACAGGGTCCTGTCCGGTGGGGTCAGTGGGTGGCTCAGCAGTGGTCTGTGCCCACGGGAGCAGCCCCAAGCTTCATGCCAAGCTTAAGGGACATAGCTGGAGGGACCACCGAGTGCTCCGTTGCAAATTGCACGACAAAATGCATTTTGTGGCATTGGGCAGTGGTACTGAGCCACAGAGGGCTGTGCTGGGATGGTTTATTAATCTTGATGTCTGAGGTTCCATTCAGCCCCGTGACAGGGCAGATGCATTTTTATTCTGTTGCAGAAAAGTGATGTGTCGAGTTGCTGTGCTTGGAGCATTTTGGCCTGGAAACGTGTTTGGGGGCTCTCTGTCGCGTGCAGTCAGCGTGCAGTTCGAATGAGCTCGGGAAGCCACGTCTGGGGAGGGCCGAACATGGTGACAAGGAGCTGATAAAGAAGATGGGGCTGGGACAGCAGTCTAGTGGGGAGGCGGTGCTCAGAAAATGGGAATATGTTGCTGGAGGCGGCGTTTAGCTCCACTGGAGAGGTGTCAGAAGTCTCTTTGACAGACCGTGCTGTGTGTGTCTTCTCCTCGTGGAGCAAGGTAAACCAGCCGGATCATACCTCGTCCAAAATGTGCATGGTGATGGGGTGAGAAAGCAGAGGGATGTAGTCAGTGGTTAGGCTATTTCTATGTTTTTGTCACAAAATAGGCAGTAGTGCCAGGAGGCGGCTTTCGTCCCACGGGAGCAATTCTGGCAGTGCGGAGAGTCCCGCTGGTCCGGCATCTGACTTACCGGTGAGCTCCCGGGGAGGGAGGAGAGATGGAGGCCGCCTGGTTCCCAGTGAGGTCTTTTGATGTTCTCCTGGCAGGAGGTTTTCCACCAAGGTGCATAGTGTCTGAGAAATTTGGGAAGGAGGAGAGGGAGAGGGAAAAACGAAACGCTGCCGTCATGGCAGAGGAAGAAGTAACGTTTTGTGGAGCCTCAGCTCTGTGCAGGAGGCTCGGCAGATCTGCCCTGTGGAGCATCAAGGGGCAGGAAGGGGCAAATACCATGGTATTTTAATTCTGGGCCTCTTCCCCTTTTCTTTCTCACTTTTATTTTCATTTTTTCATGGTTACCTTGCTTCCTTTGGAGGAGTAAAGAACCCAGCTGGTCTTCTCAATCTATCTTTGCTAAGCCATACTCTCAAGCTAGCAAACATTAGGATAGAAAATAAATACTTTTATGCAATAGTGATAAAAAGGATCAGCAGTTTGTTTTGTTGCCGACTTTCCCCCAGTGCAGGGAAGTTTAATGCGGCGGCTTTACTGTACATGGGAGTCAGGAAATGAAACCAGGTCTGAAGTGCAAATGACCAAAGTGTTTTGTCTCAAATGCTCTCAGCTCTCCTAATTTTGGGTGCTGCTTTTGTAACAAGGGATTTGTTTTAAGATGGAGCTGTCTGTCTTGGCAACATACAATCCTTCAGTCTGTCTCGATCTGGACCAGATATTTATCATGAATGATTAATTCTGATCGCAGTAAAGGAGCTGCTTTTTCCTTCACTATGTGAAAACAAGTGTTTGTAAATGAAAGCCTAGAAAAGGGTAAGCTAGGGAGTAGGCGTAACGTAGGTAGGATGCTCTGCTGAGGAGTAACAGACAGTCTGGTTATCTGTCAGCACCAGCTCGCTGTACAAAATCTGTTTGCCTGCTCAAAGTATGTGTAACAAGTGAAAGGAAATAAGCAAACAATGCCAAGAATTTTCTTTTTCAAATAGTGGCATATGTGCGAGCAGCATGGGCTGCATGTGCCTCTGGAGGAATTTGGTTTCTCTCAAAAGTGCTTTTGAAGTGCTGACTTGATTTATGTGGGATGGACGTAGGGAGTCTCAGGTATCACCCAGGTGTTACGCTTGGGGAGGGGAATCCTGAAATGGCTCCCTGGAGAGGCTGGTTTGGTTCCCACTGCAGCAGAGAAGGGGCCCCAGGTCGCAGAAGGCGCCGCTGAAAGCCACCCAAGTTTGTGTTCAGGTTGCTGGTGTACCGTTTCCCGGTGACATCCCAGAATCCCACTGATTTTCCAGGGCTGTCTGAACTCCCAGTGTTCCTTTGAACACACCAGCCTTCATCTCCGCTTGGTGAACGGGAAGATTAATTAAATCGGAGTGACTGGGGGGGCTGTGGCTCCTCTGCTAGCACCGCCTCACCCAGTGCAATGCAGATGTTTCGAGTTAGGTGAGGCGGCTGCATCCCGAGGACTGGTGCCGGATGAGTTTTCAGGTGAGAGCTGGGCAGGTGCACAACCCAACTGATCATTTGCCTGTGCTGCCTGGAAGTGACCGGGCAGGGGAGGGGCTGGGCTGAGAAGCCTTGGGGTCTGCAGGGAGGTTTTGCCATTCATTTTAGCAGAACTTGTGGTACTGTGCAGTTCCTTGGTCTGCAGACACAGATGGGTGGTTTTAGAGGTGTAACACATAGGATCACGTTTTTACCAGTGCTTATTTCATATAGCTAGATGGACACCTCCATCTGACGAAGACTATCTACACCCTTACCAAGAGCTTTTTTAAAAATAGGTTTTATAAATGTTTTTCTTGTAACAAATATTTACTAGATATTGGGTACTGGCTTCCTCCATTATTGTTTAGAGCAGATCTGCTAAGCTGCAGGTATTTTAGGAGGGCCCCAGGCATCTTGTTTTGCAGCAAAACACGGGAATGCTTCCCAGCAGTTGGACAGAGAAGATCTCGTAGTGAAGTCTGCAGGTTTCTTTTGCCTTTGGCAGAAGCAGAGTGGCAGCCGAGTTGCTGAAACCCCATGAAGACCTTGAACCCCAGCACCTTTGAATGGGTGTGATCAGCTCGAAGGCCAGCAGTGCTCCTTCGAAGTCTTGTGCATAGTGAAGTTAGCATTTTACTGCTGCCAAACCCACAATTCGTTTAACTCGAAGGCTGTACACAACCCGCGGGCTTCGCTGAACCCTGATGATGATGGTGCACCAGGATGCTTCAGTGGCAGCGAGGGTAATTTCAGGGCTGCCAAGTGGAGGATTTCTGGTTAAAATGAAAGTTCTTTGGGGGTTTGTTTTGTACATGGATGATGATAGCAGCATTGTTTCCACTGGGAATGAGTGGAGGCATCCCTTGCTGCCTGCTCCTGGGGGAACACTGTGGCTGGAAGGAGATGCCTGCCTGCAGCGGAGAAGAGGGGGAGGCAGGACGAGGCAGGTCCTGGTGGAACAAGGAAAGCTGGAAGGATGATGGCATGTGGAGTAGTGAGTGTGTGCAGATTGCAAAGCTTATCTCACTGCAAGGAACCAAGTAAATATGCCTGGGATACGGCTCTTCAAGATTACAGCAGTATGTGTTTCTCCTCCCTTCCTCTTGGGAGCTAAGTGGGGTTTGCAGGCTAAGGAAAAATCTACCAAAAGGAAAGAAAAAGGAGGCAGTTGAGGCAGAGGAGCAATAGGTCTGTCCTTCAGCCAGGATACTCTGGCCGTGAGAACTGAAAGGAATAAGAAGCCTCGTTCATTTGGCACTGGAGTTAACGTAATCTCCAACATTGCTATAAGGTGTTTGAAAAGTCACTGACATGAGTTTGATGGCATTTTTGTACTTTGCAGGCAGTGTGTACACAACTGTCTACAGCAAAGTCGGGCTCAAGAACATGCCATCCAGAAACATTGCAGAAAAATTGCATTTACCAATTTACCAACTCTGTGGTTCTTTGAGCAGGGAGTACCTGTACATCTTTGCTACCATTAAGTGACAACCCAGTCACCCAGTGGTGAGCGGCACCAAACGGCCAGATTTTCCAGGCACTCAATCTCACACGGGCCTCCAGATCTTCTTGAAATCAACTCTCCAGCAAGAGTGATTGCACAATAGTGGATAACAGCATAGTGAGGCACACAATGTGTCTAATTCAGAGTTTGATATACAAATG